GCTTGCCATGTGTGGCAAGGAACGCAACCAAGAATGCACCTCAGAGGCATGGCATCATTTAACAGAGCCACAGATATATATATATATGTGTGTGTGTGTGTCCCCTCTGGAGCCACGAGGTTCCCTTTGGATTGTTTTCTCGAATTTCGCAGGGGGGATCGCCCACGGACTTGACTGGTGATCCAACGAAGAGGGTCAAGTTCCGTGCTGATATCTGGCCTGATCAGCCAGACGTACCTGCAGTTTTATTTGAGAAATTTCATCGTGGGGCTAGAACAAGACGTCCAGCCTTTGCATCGGTTCATCATCGGCAGATGTGCATTGTCGCTTTGGATTTGTCGATTTGGAGTTGGAGGCCATGCAGGCTTTGAAGTGGCTTGGAACACCGTACTTTTACCTGTCCTGGTTCTCTTAGGTTTTCGCTTAGGCCGGCGTGTGGCAACCGCTTTCAAGTCAGTACGCATTTCTATAAGTGTGTGTCGAGTGATTGTCACAGTCCTTCAGGGTTGCTTACACAGACGGTCAAAATGATGACTCACTGGGTACTTGAAGCCTCAACCCCTGCGGGAATTGTGCGCGGATTGTGCCCGGGCACTGCCCTCGGCCGCTGTGCCCAAGGGGACACAGGTGCTGCAGCCCGCAGCAATGGCCGAAGCAATCGATCTTGATAACGATTGTTCAGCGATTTCACGCGTGCAGCAGGCAGTGGCAGATGGTTTGCGAGTGGCCGAAATCTTTGACCTGATGGGTGGGTTCCAGGGGTAAAACATTGTAAAAACTGACATATGGGAGTCTTCCCGCTTCTTCACGGATGCAAACGAGAACAAGGTTTTTCAGATCAACCACCATGACATGAGCTTCGAAGACCCTTTCTTCCCGACAAAATCCGAGTCATGGGGGACGTCTAATACTTGGAGTTGCTTTCTTGGTTTGTTTTGTACGTTGGGTTGCCCTCCCACCAGTGTGGAGGGTTCACACGAATTGATTTTCTTGTTGTATGGAAACCAGAATTCAGAATAATTTTTCCATGTTCTTCCCTTTTGGCCTTTTGCCACACCTGGGGTTCCAACTCAAAGCAAGATCACCCTGATCATGCTCAGTTGTGATACTCATGATCTGAAGCAAGTGTATATTTGGCGCGCTTGATCAAGATCAATATCTTTGGTGTGCTTTGTATCCTCTGGCGAGACGCGCCTGACGTTTGGGTGTGTATTTGACATCGGGGGACCCCCTCGCCCTGGACAATTCCGGCGACTGGTCTATTGCCCGTCTTCCGAACCCAGGGAAGTTGAACCGGGAAATCTCTCCTGGAAGTGTTCATGTGTTAAATACACAAAATATGTTCATTGAGCACAAATTGAGTTTGTATGAGCTACTAGTAACAAGGCACCGAAAACTCCTAGTACCAAGAAACTACTAGCAACAAAGGGCATCGCTCCCAGTTTGGACATGCAGTTGGGAAATCAACAAATTCGACCCCTACGACTTACAATTCAGCCAGATTCCTTGTACCAGTGAAGTGTATACCCTAGGCGTCCAAAGACTATACTTTTCCTTTCAGGAAGTTAAAGATGTTTTCTTTTGGTATCCTAAAGACAATACCAACATACCAACTATTAGTTTTGCGTTTTTTGCTGGGCTTGTGGCTGCTCAGTCATATAAATATTGTGTATGGTTTAAGTATACCATCAATTTGTGCTTACGGGGTACGTCCGCTGGAGCCCAAGGTACCTGTAACAATCGGTAAAGAAGTCACTCGCTAGTTTTATCTATTTTTGAACAAGGCCTGCAACTGAACCATCATCATCCACTCGTCCCTGCATGGTAATAGGATAGACCCAGTGATAAACCCCCCAAAAAAGACTAGAGTTTACTCATTAGAAGGGCTTCGAAGGCTCGTTCGCATGAATTCCATGGCCCAGAAAGTAGGTAGATCGAGACAACCTCAAAGACTCTTCGGGAAGGGACCGGGAGGGAGGTTTCCCCACTCCAATTCAACAGGTAGCGGTGGTTTCAGTTCGGTTCACCTGGTCAAAGCAAAACGGCGAGCACTTGGTGAGCTTTGGTCTTTGTTTTCCAACTTAGCGCCGGTCACTTGGCCACCCGTCGCGACGGTTTTTGGACCGAAGAATCTCTGCTACATCGCTGGTACCGATCGAGCATGATCTGCTCAATCAATGCACGGTCAGCGCGAAAACGGGGTGAGCCCGCAGGGCAAAAAACCCTGCTCGCGCGCCCACCTGGGCGCGCACCGCGGTGCGCGAAGCCCTAGTTTCGGCAATTCGCGGACAGTCCATAGGCTTCTGGCCTCCGGAAAGTACGTTGCAAGGCCTTTTTGGGGGATTCGAGACGCCCCACTAAACAAGAACAGTGTCTCTTTGTTTGGGTTCTTTGACACTGCCCCGACCAGAGTGTTTGCCACGTCGCGGGATGGGGGGCTGGAGCGAACAGGTGGAAAAAGGTAAACCATGGTCAACCATTGTCCACCATGTTTTTTTCCAGGGAAACGGCTCGGAAGTCAGCACTGAGTCTCAGTACATGAAGACAATTGTGACAGGTTCGTGAATTCAAACTCTTCCGGGTGTGTCGACATAGCTCAGACTCTCTGGCACAGCTATTTGTTACGCTTCTGTGCTGCTTGTTTCATAACTACCAGCACCCGACTTCACAGCTCTCCGAAATGGTGGCTTTTGGAGACTTTTTTCAAGTGGCTGGTAGTGGTGACCTGTGAAGTCGGGTGCTGGTAGTTCTTTGCTTGTTGATGTTGGGACTTGTGGCGACTGGACTTGACGAAATTCGACACCAGGACCGCGATCAGGTATTCATAGACGGGACACCAACCGGGTTTAGTGGGAGCCCTTTGGGGGGGGTTGTGTTTGACCAACAAGTGAACAGACCGGTATCCCTGGGAGTCAAAGACCATTAAAACAATGGTTGACCTGGTTTTTGTATTCTAAAATCCTTAGTTGATTGGGTAAAGCCTATTAAATTAATGGTTGTTGGAAGCCTAGGGGTATTCATGTATTGGCCCTGGAAACTGTGAACAGACCATGCGGCCTACCATGATTTTTCGCCAGGATCATGGTAACAAGACTGTCCAATGTTGGGCTTCGTCCCATGGTTGACCCCTAACCTTCCGTTGGACGATTTAAACACGGGCTGTCACATAGGTAATACATGGTTGACATCGTTTTCAGTTTGGTAAAGACCACTTGAACAATGGTTGGTGGAGTTGTTCTGCGTGGTTGGTGGAGTTGTTCTGCGTGATGGGGCCCGTAACGGGGGTTGTTCTGCCCCGTTTCCTGTGGATTGTCGAACGGATCGCTGGGACATTTGTTTACAAAGTTTACGAAGCTCGCAGCATTTGGCTGTGACTGTTTGTGTCGCTGGGCGGTCCCTTGTGTGTTTGCTCTCTTTTCTAGTGGCAAAGAGAAAAGGAATCCAACTTCAAGTTCTCTAGGTGAGAAGTAGGACAAACATAGTGTCCTTCATTTGGATTGCCTGCGGTATGCTCATCAAAGGAATCAAACGCCATAGGTAGGTCCCTTCTGGGGGGGTCCATGCGTGTGCGTGTGGTTGTTGTTGATGAGCTCCAATCAGATTGACATCATTTGCTTGCCTTGACCAGATAATAAGAGTTTTAGCCTTTCTAGACGTTTGATCTCCTGGAAGAGTGTAGTGGAACTTCAACATGCAACAGGAGAAGTTGCTGGTACACTCTGACGAACACATCACATGGAAGAGGAACATGGTCCCTTGGAAGAGGACTTTCCTTACGAACAGTGGAGGTTTTGTTCACTTCCATGTGATGTGTTCGTTGGAGTGTAGCAACATTCGGTTTGACCAGGTAGACCCGTACGGACGGTGGAATCCCCGTGTGCGGCGCCTCATCACGGTTCGATGGATCGATTCAGACGCACCTCTCGAGAGAAGGATGGTCCGAGGGTAGCGGATGGCATCTCCAAGTCACTTGCACCATGGAGACGACGGTGAAGTCGAAATTGCATGACCAGAGTCACACGTGGGTTCCAGACAAACCCTTGCAAGTACCCTTGCATGGAAGGACGATCGAGAAGATTTCCCGGTGGCTGGCCAGCAAATCCAAGCATGTGGGTTTCATCCTAGCTTAGCGGTGGCCTCCAACCTACTAGCAATGGCCACTATCTACTACACCCTGAAGAGTCAGCCATGTGGGAAGCGAACTAGAACCAGGGAGCTGGTCGAAAATCTTTGGGCCGTGTTTTTTTAAGCGACCAGCGACACATCCAAAAGAATTAAGGGCATGCAGGTCCTAGTTGAGCTATGGGCCTTTTTCCGACCTACGGTGGAATGCCGTTCAAGCTCACTCCAGCCGGGGATGATGTTAATGTTGGACGCGTGGTTGGGCTCACTCGCCATGCGGGAATCGAACTCTTTGTTCGATGCACTGCGTGGTGGAGACTTCCTGGCTGAGTGAGCAAATGGTCACGCCATGTCACTGCGGAACATATGGGCCATCCACGGAGAACAAAGAAAGCGGATTCCTTTGAGCATGGCAGGTGTTGCCCAAAGCATCCAGCTAAATTCTGGTCTATGTCTTACCCACCCAGAGGGGGTTGAGAGGCCTGAAGTGGTATAGGGCTGTTCTTTCGCTTTCTTAGCAGGTTGCCTTTCGTGGACAACCTGCCGGTCACCCAACGACTCTTCGGGAGAAGTGAGACACTTTCGGTGAGATCTCATGGCGGTTTCGGTTTTTCGTTGTTCGTTTCGGTTCACCCCAAAACCTCTTGGGTCCACTATGGTCCAATGGTCCAACACATGTCCGGGAGTCGGACCCAGGTGGTGTGTTTGTTCACTCCAAGGTCGCCAAGGTCAAAGACCAAAGACATAATTATTATAATCGTCCTTGAGACCATCAACTGAGTTGTGTTTTGCTACCATCAACTTCGGTTTCTCCTGAGGCCGCTCACCACGGGTGGGTTCCACCGGGCTCGTCCGCAGAAACCACGGGCACCACCCAGGACGCGCGGCGACCGCAGCTGCAGACAGCCCTCCAGGAGGTCAACGAGCAAAGAGCCGCTGAGGGCGAAGAGTGAGCTTTGTGCGACCAGGGCGGGGCTTGGGAAGACCAGAGACGTCTGAAAAAAAGGAAACACCCTCCACAACAGGTCTCCGAAGTGGCCAAATGGTGGTGACCTGTGTGTCCCAACGAGACGCTTCGGTGGGCCAGACGGGAACGGGCGCTATCTCAAGGGTCGATACAGCCGTCCACCGCCGGTCCACCGCCGTCCACGTCTCGGATGGTCGGGTCGACCCTCCCGAGGCAGGTCGCACGTTGGATGATATGTTTGGGTGAGTCTGGGTTCAATCCACCCGGTGGAGGGTTTCACAGAGATCCGACTCTTTGACCAGATCAGGTCTCGAAATACCCTCTCTTGGGCTGTGCGAGTCGGTTGTCTTCGACTTGGCATTCCGAAGACATCACCAGGACGAAGGTGAACAGAGAGCTCCCCCCGTTCACTTTCAACTGGAAACCCCGGACTTGGCCTCCCTTTTGCACCTGTGGAATCCCTTTCGACGATTCTCGTGGAGCGGGCGCTGCGGGCGCGCCGCCGCGCCCTTTGAGGCTCATGAAGCCAACGTGTGCAGCTTCCTGAAGCGGAAGACGGAAGAGTTGCAGGCAGAAGGCCATCGGCTGCAAACGATGCACATGGACTCTGAGACAAAGATGTGATAGATGGGATGTGTGAGTGGGATTTCAGATGTTCACCCATCCGGAACTTTCGGACATGTTACACCCTGGAAGACGACGATCCGACCCTGAAAACCACTGCGTTGGTAGAGGATTTCACACTCTCTTCCAGGGGGCCAGGACGTCAGGGTCCGATGCAATTCTCTCCCAGACACCTACAGAAACCCCTGATGCCCCCGGTACGATTCGATCCATGTTCTTCCAGATCTCAATGTCTGTGGTGTTCCATGCCCCCGGTACCGGGTGCTTTCGAAGATGTCATCGGTCGGCTGGGCGTTCTTGGGATGCCTCATGGAAGATGGAAGATGATGGAGGCAATTAATTGCTATTCCCAGACGCTCCATATATATGGTAGATATGCCTAAGTTGGGGAAGGTACTCGGAGGCCGATCGGGTAGTGGTAAAAAAGATAGGTTATATGGGCGATATGAAATGATATATAGGGCTGTTCAACCTCTCTTGGCTCTGAGGAGTCTGGCTCCAGCTGCCACGCCACCTTGGAGCTCTACCGGCGCCAGGCCTCAGAAGAGGCGGCCGCCTTACGGCTGCGCCGCGCGCAGCAGCAGGCGAAGGTCACGGAGGAGGAGATGGACTCTTCGGCACCCGGGGACAGCGACCGACGTTGGATGGCACGAAAAGGGAAGAGAATGGACTACAAGTCATCCAACAATCCAACGTCCAACGTCTATCAGTCTGATCAGTCAGTCCGTTCTGACAAGACTACAAGTCCAGTCTGATCCAGGTCCAGTCTGGTCTTTGACCTCGAGTACGACCTCCGGTAGAAGAGGTCGAACGACATGGTGGGACGCGTTGTTTGGGACGAACGGAGGGACCTCGACCAGACATGGTCAACCGGCCAAGGGTTGGGCCTCCATGGGACTCCGGGTATTGACTCAGTGCCATATGGGACACTCCCTGATATCCCTAGGCCTAGGCTTCCAAGACTATTTGTAATAAGCCCAAAGAATATCCCCAACAGCTTAAGCGCAAAATGCAACACGTTTTCTTCAGGTTAGCAAGGTAAACTAAGAGGATAGGATACTAAAAGGTTAGCAAGGTAAAAGGTAACAGTAGGAAGCACAGTGAAATAGACTTGAGGTATGATGCTGTCGATTCGGGCCCCGAAACCGGATTCGGGGCGCGAATGGAGAATAGGAGGAAACTAAGAGAATAGAATACTAGAAGGTTAGGAAGTTAAGAGAAGGAACCACAATTGAATAGACTTGAGGTATGATGAGGTTGCCTTGACTGTGGATTGGGGCTCCGAAACCGGATTCGGGGCCCGAAAGCGGATTCGGAGCCCGAATGGAGAACAGGAGGAAACTAAGAGGATAGGATACTAAAAGGTAAGCAAGGTAAAAGGTAACAGTAGGAAGCACAATTCATGAAATACAATTGAGGTATGATGAGGTGTCCTTGACTGGCCCGAAAGTGGATTCGGGGCCCAAAACTGGATTCGGGGCCCGAATGGAGAACAGGAGGAAACTAAAAGGATTCGGATAGGATACTAAAAGGTTAGCAAGGCAAAAGGTAACAGTAGGAAGCACAATGAAATAGACTTGAAATATCATGAGGTGTCCTTGACTGTGGATTCGGGCCCCGAAAGTGGATTCGGGGCCCGAATGAAGAACAGGAGGAAACTAAGAGGATAGGATACTAAAAGGTTAGCAAGGTAAAAGGTAACAGTAGGAAGCACAATGAAATAGACTTGAGGTATGATGGCGTTTCCTTGACTGTCGATTAGGAACCTTGCGGGAACCTTGTGGGAAACTTGCGCCAACCTTGTGGGAACGTCGGGGCCACGTTGTGGGAACCTCGTGGCAACCTTGGAGCAAAGCTGTGGGAACCTTGGAAGAACCTTGTGGGGCAAAGTTGTGGAACGATGTTGTGGGCACCTTGGGAGCCTTGTGGGGCAAAGTTGTGGGAACCTTACCTTGCAAAAAAGTTGTGGGAACCTTGTAGGAACCTTGAAGCAAAGTGGACAAAGTTGTGGGAAGCTTCTGGGAACCTTGCAGCAAAGTTGTGGGGACCTTGTGGGAACCTTGGAACCTTGGGGCAACCTTGGAGCAAGGTTGCGGGGATCTTTGGTCCCTTGTGGAACCTTGGAAGAACCTTGAGGGGCAAAGTTGTGGAAACCTGGTGGGAACCTTGGAGCAAAGCTGTGGGAACCTTGGCCTTGGGGCAACCTTGGAGCAAAGCTGTGGGAACCTTTGGTCCCTTGTGGGAACCTTGTGGGAACCTTGAAGCAAAATGGGCAAAGTTGTGGGAAGCTTCTGGGAACCTTGCAGCAAAGTTGTG